TGGCTTGGTGGGTAGGGCGCCGGCCCCATATACCAAGGGTGACAGGTTCAAACCCAGCCCTAGCCAAACTGCAACAACAAAAAAAATAGCCGGGTGTTGTGGCAAGCACCTATAGTCCCAGCTACTTGGGAGGTTGAGGCAAGAGAATCACCTAAGCCCAAGGAGTTGGAGGTTGCTGTGAGCAGTGACGCCACAACACTCTACCAAGGGTTAATAAGTAAGACTCTTTCTCAAAAAAAAAAAAAAGAAAGAAAGATAGATAGAATTTAAATTAATTTCTCACCTGGCACTTTTAAAGAGCCATTAATTTTTATAGCTGTAATCCTAGCTATTCAGGAGGCTGAGGCAGGAGGATTGCTTGAACCTAAGAATTTGAGGTTGCTGTGAGCTATGATAACACCCAGGGAAAGAAAACTAGCCAGGCGTTGTGGCAGATGCCTGTAAGTTGTAAGACTTTTTGTTATTGTTGTACTCAGTCATTCACAGTCTGAAACAGCAGCCTCAAGGTCGCCCAGAGAATGAGTGGCCAAGCTAAGATTCGAAGGCAAGTTTCCAAGGCTCTTTCCAGTCCTATGAGATGCCTCTGAGAGAGACTTCAGTGGAATTCAGGACAGAAACCTAGTGAGCTAGGACCTGAGCCATAGGAGGGAGGCCCCTTCCCCCAAGGCTGGCCAGGCCATGCCAGGTGTTTTGCAGCAAAAACTGGGTCATTGGTCATTTACCTGATCTCTGCCCTAGGGTCCTCAGACTGGAAATCTGAAGAGGCCAGTAGGTAGGGGGCAGGGAGCCAGATACTGAGAAATGCAGGTTTAACCTGTCCCACTGGCTGGTACCTGAAAGGGTGGGAAAGGGATAGGAAATTTACTTTTCTACTCTCTCAGCTGTCTTAGTTTGAGTGACCAGATTTTGGAGGCAGCTCCATTTTCCCAAGAACATCAAGTCATCAAGTCACTGCCTGGATCATGCCAATTCACTGCTGTACCCCTTTGGGAACATCTCCAGACCTCTCTCCTCTCTCTGTTTGTTTCTCCAAGGTCACTTTCTGGAAGAAGAAGAGAATGGCTGAGATGAGGCATGCCCAGTTCTTTCTCTTCCAGAGTTCTCCCAACTGTGAATCCTGGGAGAAGACTGTAACTCCCAACCCATCAGTCCTCTACCTGGGGTCATTCAGGGCCATGGAACACTCTTTTTTTTTTTTTTGTATTTAACAGTATGAGCTGAAGAAGCTTTCTGAAAAAAACAGATAGGGAAGCTGCAAGCCCAGATAGTCCCAGAAGGCTCTACCTGGGTTGGGGGTCAAAAATCAGATTTGGGGGGCTAGTACTCACTGCTCAGGGTTCTTAGAAAACTATCAATTCAGAAATGCCACAGAAGCCAGAGCCAATTCACAAACATATTCCTTCATTCCTGCATTCATCTGCAGATAATCCCTTCTTTATCTTTCCTTTCTCTGCCAAATTAATTCAAAAAGAAAAAAAAAATGGTCCATCTTCCCAGCCTCTACTCTTAGCTGCACAGTATATTGTAACATGTCTTTTGCCCTGTATTAGTCAGGTGTAGTTGCTCTAACAAACACCTCAATAGTTTATTATTAAAACACATTGCAGGCTCGGCACCTGTGGCTCAAGTGGCTAAGGCGCCAGCCACATACACCTAAGGTGGCGGGTTCAAATCCAGCCCAGGCCGCCAAACAACAATGACGGCTGCAACCAAAAAAAAAAAAAAAAAAAAGCCAGGCGTTGTGGCAGGCGCCTGTGGTCCCAGCTACTTGGGAGGCTGAGGCAGGAGACTCACTTGAGCCCAGGAGTTGGAGGTTGCTGTGAGCTGTGGTGCCACAGCACTCTGCCCAGGGGGATAGCTTGAGGCTCTGTCTCAAAAAAAAAAAAAATTAAAAATAAATAAAAAATAAAAAAAAACCACATTGCGGAGAGGAGAGGAGCTCTGTCCCATGTAGCAGTCAGGGACCCAGGTGCCATCCATCTAGTGGCTCTGCCATTTCCTAGGGCCTCAGAATTTTCCACTAGATCCTCTGTAATGAATGAGGAGAAAAGAGATGGTATCAGAGGAGATTTTAGGAGCCAGACCTGGAAGTGTCATATATCATTTCTGCTAATATTTTGTTGGCCAGAACACAATCACATAGCCCCATTTAACTACACAGTACACTATGGAAAGTAATCTGGCCACCCAAGAGGAAAAGGAAATGGATTTGTGAATGTATAGCATTGTCTCTGCCATATGTCCCTACTGAGAAATCTAATGACCATTTCTCATCATCTCACTGAATCAACTATATTTTGACTATGTTGACCTTCATTCCACCACTCTAAGAAAGAAAAGAAATGTTTTTATCTGAGGAATGTGAGCTTTCTTTAATTATTAGGCCTAGCGAGGCATTGAAATGTGATGGCAGTCACATATCACTCCACCCGCACAGCCAAATAATTACTTCTTTTTTTTTCTGTTACTCAGGCAGATTATAGTGCTGTCATCATAGCTCACTGCAACTTCATACTCTTGGGCTTTATGGATCCTCCTGCCTCAGCCTCCCAAGTAGCTGGACTATAGGTGCTTGCCACAACAACCAGCTGATTTTACTATTTTTGATGAGACAAGGTCTCACCCTTGCTCAGGAGGTCTCACTTTTGCTTAGGCTGGTTTCAAACTCCTGAACTCAAACGATCTTCCCACCTCAGCCTCCCAAGATTACAGGCATGGGCCATGGTGCCTGACACCAAATAATTACTTCTTGAAGACACTTGCTATTAGGGCTGTAGACTGATGTCAAGTAGCCATAAAGTAGGATACACTGGACACTATAACTCATATGCTATAGTTCCACAATGTGTAGCCAATCATTAATCAATGTTATTCCAGTAAACCAATGAGAATTCCTGTCAAACAACGTTGTATCAGCCCATTCCTTGTCCTTTTTGTCTTTAAAAACCTATTTGTAACCTGGGTGCGGTTCACGCCTGTAATCCTAGCATTCTGAGAGGTCAAGGTGGATGGATTGCCTGAGTTCATGAGTTCGAGACCAGCCTGGGTCAGAGTGAGACCTCATCTCTAAAAATAGCCAGGCATTGTGGTGGGCACCTGTAGTCCCAGCTACTTGGGAGGCTGAGGCAAGAGAATCTCTTTAGCTTAAGAGTTTGAGGTTGCTGTAAGCTGTGATGCCATGGCCCTCTATAAATAAAAATAAATAAATAAAATAAAAATAAAAAAACCTGTTTGTAACAAAGATCAAAGAGAGCACCTTGAAAGTGTGTCTTGGGCAGCTGTATTCAATATTGGCCCAGATAAACTCTCTGTCACCAAAGCTACAGTGCAGTGGCAAGATCAGCTCACTGTAGCCTCGAACTCCTCCTCAGCTCGTGCACTTCTCTTCTGCAGCCTTTTCAGTAAGCTGGGACTGTTCCTATGAACCACTGTGCCTGGTTAGCTTCTCTCTGTAGGTTGAAAACTCTAATGTGTGAGGCTACTCTCCTGCAGTTCTTTTTTTTTCTTTGCTTATTTTTTATTTATTTGCTTTTTGTTGTTGTTTTTGTTGTTATTGAGACAGAGTCCCACCCTATGCCCCTGAGCAGAGTGCAGTGGCGTCGTAGCTCACTGCAAACTCAGACTCTGGCTGTGGGCATCCCACTGCCTCAGCCTCCGGAAGCCTCTGGGATTAATGAGGTTGGCTGGGTTTTTCCATTTTTTTCATGAGTCAGGGTCTCACTCTAGCTCTGGCAAGTCTTGAACGCCTGAGTTCAAGCACTTCTCCCTCCTCAGCCTCCCACAGTACTGGGATTATAGGTGTGAGCCACTGCGCCCAGCTCATCCAGTTATTTCATGTCTTATTTATATAACTAACAAATACAGTGCTCACTACATGAGGCACTAATTGCTTTATAACTATTAACTCATTTAATCTCCATCACAATGAAGTATGTACTATGACATAGGCACTTTCATTTATTCCATTTTATAGATAAATAAGTCACAGAAAAAAAAAACTTGAATCAAAGATTCTAAGCAACTCACTCAATTTCACACAACTAGTGGAGGAGCCAAGTTTTTTTTTTTTTTTTTTTTTTTGAGACGGAGCCTCAAGCTATCCCCCTGGGTAGAGTGCCATGGCATCACGCTCACAGCAACCTCCAACTCCTGGGCTCAAGCGAGTCTCCTGCCTCAGCCTCCCAAGTAGCTGGGACCACAGGTGCCCGCCACAACGCCTGGCTATTTTTTTTTTGGTTGCAGCCATCATTGTTGTTTGGCGGGCCCGGGCTGGGGATTCGAACCCGCCACCTTAGGTGTATGTGGCTGGTGCCTTAGCCGCTTGAGCCACAGGCGCCGAGCCAGGAGCCAAGTTTTGAACTCAGTCCAACTCCAGAGTTTATTTCTTTTTATTTTTTTTATTTTTTTGGACAGGATAGAGAAAGATTGATAAGCATGATAAGCAAAAGAGGGGGAACAGAATCTCTAGCTGCTGGGAAGAGGATCCAACTGGGAAGCCCCCCCCGAATTCTTTTTTTTGTTTGTTTTTGTTTTTGTTTTTGCAGTTTTTGGCCAGGGCTGGGCTTGAACCCACCACCTCTGGCATATGGAGCTGGCGCCCTGCCCTTGAGCCACAGGCGCCACCCCGGAATTCTTTTATTATTATTATTTATTAAACAGAGTCTCACTTTGTCACCCTTAGTACAGTGTTGTAGCATCATAGCTCATAGCAACCTCAAATCTGTGGTCTCAAGAGATTCTCTTGCCTCAGCCTCCCTAGTAGCTGGGACTATAGGCACCCATCACAATGCCCGGCTACTTTTTATTTGTTTGTTTGTTTGTTTAGCAGGCTCGGGCTGGGTTCGAACCCACCAGTCCCAGAGCATGTGGCCAGTGCCCTAACCACTGAGCTATGGGTACCCAGACCCCAGAGTTCTTTCTTTTTTTTTTTCTTTATTAAATGATAACTGTGTACATTAATGCAATCATGGGGGACAATGTGGTGTTTTCATATACAGTTTGAAATATTTTCATCAAACTGGGCAACATAGCCTTTATGTCATTTTCTTAGTTATTGTGTTAAGACATTTATATTCCACTTTTAGAAAGATTCACTTGTACCCTTGTAAGATAAACCATAGAGGCAGAGTTATTTCTTAATCACTGAACTATGCTCTTCTCTCTCTTTTGTTTCTCTTCTTTTTTGATCTTTTGTTCCTCTGTCTATCCCTTAGGCTGTTAGTGTTTTCCAGGGTTCTATCCTTAGCCTTATCTTACTCTATTCCCTCTCCTTGTGAGATTTCATCCATTTTTTAGGTTTTCTTTATTTTTAATTATTATTAGTATTAGTATTTTGAGACAGAGTCTCACTATGTCGTCCTCAGTAGAGGGCCATGGCATCACAGCTTACAACAACCTCAAACTCTTGGGCTTAAGTAATTCTCTTGCCTCAGCCTCCCAAATAGCTGGGACTACAGGCACCTGCCACAGTGCCCGGCTGTTTTTTGTTGTTGTTGCTGTAGCTATCATTGTAGCTTGGCAGGCCCAGGCCAGGTTTGAACCCGCCAGCCCTGGTGTATGTGACCGTGCCCTAGCCGCTGAGCTACAGGCACAGAGCCCATTTTTTAGGTTTTAATTACCACTTTCTCTGTAGACTCCCCAGTGAGGTCTCTTAACTGAGGTTTAGAGATGCTTGAATTGTTCATAGCCACATGCCTAGTAGTCGATAATAGAGTCAAATGGAGGGACCCACCCAGGAAGAAATGAATGCAAATAATGTCTTATCCAGAAAAAAGGGAATATGTCAATCCCTCCCCTTCAGACTTTTTAAAATCCCCATCCACCTTAACCCGTAGGCTGACTTCCTTCTCCAATTCAGCTCCACAGGTGGGTGGAAATAAAGGCCGATGTTGCCCACACAGAACCTGGATTCTGTTTCCTTTTGTTCACGTTTCGGAACAAGCTTTTATTTTTATTTATTTATTTATTTTGTTGTTGTTTTTGCAGTTTTTGGCTGGGGCCGGGCTCCAACCCGCCACCTCAGGTATATGGGGCTGGGGCCCTACTCCTTGAGCCACAGGCACTACCCCAGTCTTTTATTTTTGGTCTTTGACCTCAGTCACATTCCCAGTGGTCACTCCAGAGTGTCACACATACAAGTGTCTGATTAAATGACAACTCTTAGCCCTCTGTCTCTAGACTGGATTTGAACTCCAGACTAGGACATTCCACTGCCCAGGAGGAGTAGTCAAGTATGGGGAAAGGGGGGATAGGATGGAGACAAAAATTTATTCCAGGGAGAAGAGATCAAGCCCTGCCAACTGGGCATTCCAGAAGGGCATTCCAGCCAACTAGACATTCTAAGAGCTAAGGCTCTGGGATGGAGAAAGCATGGGTCTTCAGGGCCTACAAGTCATTCTTTATTCCATAGTACCAAGTATGAGAGGAGGGCCTTATAAACCAGTTGAGGGTTATCAGCTGGAGAGCAATGGAATTAGACTTTGCCATCCAGTGGCACAGGGCTGTGGAATGAAGGGGAGCACTATAAGGGTCAGGGAAACTATAGTCCAGGTAAGAGAGAAGATTTGAGCCCAGTGGTCATGCCTATAGTCCTAGCTCTCTGGGAGGCTGAAACAGGTGAATTGCTTGAGCTCAGGAGTTCAAGACCAGCCTAAGCAAAAGAGTCAGACCTTGTCTCTACTTAAAATAGAAAAAAAAAACTCGTGGTGAAGCATGACTGTAGTCCCAAGTACTCAGGAAGTGGAGACAGAAAAAAAAAAGTCACATCTTTAGAGTGGCTATTTTTTTACAGATGAGGTCTCGCTCTGGCTCAGGGTGGTCTCGAACCTGTGAGCTCAGACAATCCACCTGCCTCAGCTTCCCAGAATGCTAGGATTATAGGAGTAAGCCACTGCCCGCCTGGCCTCTTCTTATCGCTTTTAAAGATACAGCTCAAGGGTCATTGCCTGTGGAAAATCTCCCCTAAGTCGCCCAGGTTGAACTGCCTCCTCTCTGCTTCTGTGCGGGCTAGTAAAGGTGGGCCTTAACAATCATGGGTCCCAAAAGGCTCTACTTCCAGATTCGTCGGCTTCGCCGGTCAGTGAGCCCAGGCGAGCCAGACCATTCTGGATCTAGCGGCCACCCACCTCTGTTTCCAGGTAGAGTGGCCCTAGCGCAGATCCTCCCGGACTATTCTGAAGCTGGCCGCTAGGAGGTTTGTCCCCGCCCCCTCACCCCTCTCTTGCGTGGCGTCGCCCCACCCCTCGGCGCACCTCTCGGGAAAATGGTTCAATCGGAGGGGCGGTGCCAGGGTGTCTGGGCTGTTCCAATTGGCCAGGGCGAGCCATACCACGGCGGTGGCAGGGGAGCGAGTCGTGGGCGACTGGCGGCGGGCTCTGAGGCGGTGAGTGCAAAGCCTTAGGCCTGGCCTCCCTCTAGCGCAGCGCAGTGCCAGGCCGCCCGCCGGGATGCAGTGGGCCGTGGGTCGGCGGTGGGTTTGGGCCGCGCTGCTTTTGGCTGCCATAGCTGTGCTGACCCAGGTCGTCTGGCTCTGGCTGGGTACGCAGAGCTTCGTTTTCCAGAGGGAAGAGATCGCGCAGCTGGCGCGGCAGTACGCTGGTGAGCGGGCAGAGGGCGGGAGGGGGCGGGCTGCCCGGGAGCCGAGCCGAGGGTTCCGAGGGCGCCATCCACGAACCCAGGACCGATACTGGCCCTGACTTCACCGCTCCTCTGCCTCCACCAGGGCTGGACCATGAACTGGCTTTCTCTCGGCTGATTGTGGAGCTGAGGCGTCTGCACCCAGGCCATGTGCTGCCGGACGAGGAGCTGCAGTGGGTGTTTGTGAACGCGGGCGGCTGGATGGGTGCCATGTGTCTTCTGCACGCCTCGTTGTCAGAGTATGTGCTGCTCTTCGGCACCGCCCTGGGCTCCCGTGGCCACTCGGGTCAGTGCTAGCGGCAGCGGGACTGGGAGGCTGGGGCTGTACAAGGGTCCATGCCCTTCTTTCTGATGTTTGGGTGGGCCGTGCGATGGTGCGAATACCCTCATAGTGTCCATCTGATTGTTACTCAGGGCGCTACTGGGCTGAGATATCGGACACTATCATCTCTGGCACCTTTCACCAGTGGAGAGAGGGCACCACCAAAAGTGAGGTCTTCTACCCAGGTGGGTAAGGAAGCTCTGACAGAAGTCAGTCACTTCATGCTGGACCTGCCCCCAGGTGGGGGGACATGGCAAAGGGGTGCATTTGGGGGCCCTCCCCATGGTTCCCTCCATCCTTCTCCAGTAAGCCACAGGTGGTTGGAGGGACCCTGGTTTTTCTCTGTCGAAGCTTCCTGTTAAAAGTATCAAACATATCTGATTTTATCAGTCAATATTACAATTGTTGAGGAGACAGTAACTAGCCACTATCTAACAAGCCCAGCCCAAGTTTAGCTAGCTTTCTACTTGACATAAGTGAAGTTTGGGAATACAGACTTGTGGCTTCCCCAAGAAAAAACACAGGCCACCTGATGCCACAGAAGAACATTTAGTAGTGGTAATCTGGGTCTCTTAGCCCTCCAGATGGGAAACCAGCCCTGTGAGATAGGGGTTTTTCCTTTTCTTATGGTCCCTCTCCATTCCCTACCCTTAGATAGCCTGTGGGCCAGAGAATCAGCAGCAATAGAAGGGCAGGGCAAAGCTGGGCTCCTCATATGGGTGCTCCTTGTCCCCCCAGGGGAGACAGTAGTACATGGGCCTGGAGAGGCAACAGCTGTGGAGTGGGGGCCAAACACATGGATGGTGGAGTACGGCCGGGGTGTCATCCCATCTACCCTGGCCTTTGCACTGGCTGACACTGTCTTCAGCACCCAGGACTTCCTCACCTTCTTCTATACTCTTCGCTCGTATGCCCGGTGCCTCCGGCTTGAGCTCACCACCTACCTCTTCGGCCAGGACCCCTGACCAGCTGGGCCTGAAGGAAGACCTGTGAATGGACAGGAGTGGGCAGGCCCATACATGTCCACTTGCTGGAGCCCATGTTTACAGACAGGTTCATATTCACACCATGCAGATATTAAGTTCCTGTGTACAAGCAGGGACATCCATGCTTATACATCCAAACACAGAGACCTTTGGGAACAAATGGGACACGTGTAGATATAGAGATCTGTGTGTACAGCAGGATCACACACTCATACCCGTCCAGAAAGGGAACCTCACACTAGGGAGCCAGTCATGTTCAAACACATACATAAACTTAACTCACTAACTCAGGCCTTTCCAGAGCTTTCTACCCCCTCACTCAATCAGGGCTTTGGAGTTTAGGATAGGGGTGGATATTACACCACCTCAGTCTGACTCCTCAACCCAGCAGCAATTTGATGGGGTGGAGAGGAGCTACCCTTTGGAGCTACCCTTCACCTGTACCTATGATGCCCTTCTCTTTCTCCCCTGCCCACACCATATGCCTTATCCCCATTCCACTCCCCTGCTATGCAAGTGCCCCTGTGGCTTGTCTTACACCCTCTCAGCAACTAAGTCAGCTAGAGAATCAGAGTAATGTGGACAATGCTGAAGTCAGAGTCTTCCATTCCTAAAAGACCCCAGTCCTCTCTTAGGGGTATTATGTGGAAGCTGGCTTTAGGCCAGGGCCCACCTCTAAAGAGAGGACCTAGAGAGGTGGGCCTAATTCCCAGGACCATCCTTAGCCTAGAGAAGGCCTTTTCTGTGCAAACACATACACACACCCATCACAGTTTCAGATAGCCCTGCTACATTCTCTGTCTGTCTATTTGTGTTAATAAAGACCTGTCAATCTGTTCCATTTCTTTGTGTGTCTGAGAAGCAGGAAAAGCCTCTGATTCCTGGGGGAGCCTCAGAAAGGCGTCTTGCTTTGTGATTCAGTTTATAAGATGGTAATTTCAGGCTTGACGCCTGTGGCCCAAGTGGCTAAGGCGCCAGCCACATATACATACCTAAGGTGGCGGGTTCGAATCCAGCCCGGGCCCGCCAAACAACAATGATGGCTGCAACCAAAAAAATAGCCGGGTATTGTGGTGGGCGCCTATGGTCCCAGCTACTTGGGAGGCGGAAGCAGGAGACTCGCATGAGCCCAGGAGTTGGAGGTTACTATGAGCTGTGATGCTACAGCACTCTGCCCAGGGAGACAGCTTGAGGCTCTGTTTCAAAAAAAAAAAAAAAAAAAGATGGTAATTTCAGACCTAGTAGGGACTATATATTTGAATATGCTTAAGAATCATTTAGGAGCATACTGAGTCTTCAAATTATTGTGGAATCTGTTGCCAGAGAGTGAGCCCTTAAAGTCAGCCTGTTTAAGAAAATCCCTTCCAACACAGTTGTGAAGGCCACAGTTTGAGAAATTCAGGGTTGGGTGAGGTAAGTGTGTGGCCTCAACTCTGCCTGTGCAATTCTGGGAACAATCCTCAGAATCTTTCCCTGGATGGCCACACGGTGGCAATGTGCACCCACTTTTGAGTTGAAAGGCATAGTTCTCAGGCCATTTTCTGGGCTCTTAGAATATAGTGTCTTCTCCCATGCAAAGCAGTTCCTCCACTCTATGGTCTACCTTATTCAGGACCCACCACTTCTGTGGGGTCTCCCATGGTGAGAAGCAGACAGGTACCTGGCAGTATGTGAGATAGCTAAGACCAAGATTAGGGCGAGGCAAGAAGGATGCCTAACATACACTCATTCCCAAAGACCCTGCTCTCACCCTAACTTTTTCACCCTAGGCACCAAGATGCCTTCACTCTTGACCTGGTTCTGCTTGGAGGTTAAAGCCTAGACTACTCCCACTTCTTAGTATTCCTGGTATATTAAAAATAAAAGAAACATGATTATAAAAATTATTTTTAAGACAGGCATGGTGGTGGGGCGGCGCCTGTGGCTCAAAAGGGTAGGGCACTGGCCCCATATGCCAGAGGTGGTGGGTTCAAACCCAGCCCCGGCCAAAAAAAAAAAGACCAGGTGTGGTGGCACATGCCTGTAATCCTAGCACTCTGGGAGGCCAAGGCAGGTGATTACCTGGGCTCATGGGTTCTAGACCAGCCTGAGCCAAGAGCAAGACCCCGTCTCTAAAAATAGCAGATATTATAGACTCAGCTACTTGGGAGGCTGAGACCAGAAAAGCACTTGAGCCCAATAGTTTGAAGTTGCTGTGAGATATGATGCCACAGCACTCTACCAAGGGCAACACAATAAGACTGTCTCAAAAGTAAAAAAAACTATCAACGTGGCACCTGTAACATAGTGGTTACAGCATCAGCCACATACACCAAAGCCAACTGCAACAAAAAAAATAACCAGGCATTGTGGCGGGCGCCTGTAGTCCCAGCTACTTGGGAGGCTGAGGCAAGAGAATTGCTTAAGCTCAAGAGTTTGAGATTGCTGTGAGCTGTGACAACATGGCACTCTAATGAAGGCAGCATCATGAGACTGTCTCAAAAAAAAAAAAAACTATCAAAAGTCAAGATTTGTGGCTCTGAATAAATACATTACCCAGGTAAGTTGGCCATTGCAACCCCCAAACACCACCATGTCACACATGACAGGTCCATGCTGGGGTCTCTCCATTGATGCTAGTTTACAAAGTCATGCCTCCTTGGAAATTTTCTACCACCCTGTAACCTGCCTCTAGACTCAGGGCCCTCTGTCAGGGTTGCTTCAGCTCTCCATTATCCCTCAGTCCTGTCCACAAAGAACTATGCTTCTAGGTCCTGCTCCATCTCTGTTAAGTCCAGTAGTCATTTTATAATACTCATCTATTTGACACAGGTAATCCCTCCTACAACACTTTTTGGCTTCCATGATACTACTCTCTTCCTTTATTGCCTTATTTCTTTATGAATGACAAGAGTCTCATTCTGATACCCTGGATAGAGTACCGTGGCATCATACCTCATAGCAACCTCAAACTCCTGGGTTCAAGCAATCCTCTTGCCTTAGCCTCCCCCGTAGCTGGGATTATAGGCATTGCCACAATGCCCCGCTAGTTTTTCTATTTTTAGTAGACAGGGGATCTCGCCCTTGCTCAGGCTGTTTTTGAACTCCTGAGCTCAGGCAATCCACCTGCCTTGGCCTCCCAAATTATTAGGATTACAGGTTTGAGCCACCGCTCCCAGCCCTTTCTTTCTTCTTTGCTGGATTCCTCTTATCTCATTCTCTGACTTCCAAGGACTTAGTCGTCAAATCACTTCTCAATTTACATCCCTTCCCAGGTGAACACAACTATTTCATGACTTTATTCATTTAGTTTTTTTTATTATTACTGAGACAGAGTCTCATTTTGTCACCCTCAGTAGAGTGCTGTGGCATCATAGCTCACAGCAACCTCAAACTCCTGGGCTCAAGCAATTCTCTTGCCTCAGCCTCCCTAGTAGCTAGGACTACAGGCACCTGCCACAAAGCCCAGCTTGCTGGCTTGCTTGCTTTTTTTTTTTTGTTTTGTTTAGCAGGCTCAGGTCAAGGTTCAAACCCACCAGCCCTAGAGCATGTGGCCAGTGCCCTAACCACTGAGCTATGGTTGCCTCCTATTTATTTACTTTTTGAGGCAAGAGTCTCACATTGTTGCCCTTGATAGATTGCTGTGGCATCATAGCTCACAGCAATCTCAAACTCTTGGAATCAAGAGATTCTCTTGCCTCAGCCTCTGAGTAGCTGCGACTACAGGCACCCGCCACAACACCTTGCTATTTTTAGACATGGGTTCTCGCTGTGGCTGAGGTTGGTCTCAAACTCATGAGTTCAGGTGATCCACCCACCTCGGCCTCCCAGAGTGCTAGGATTACAGGTGTGAGCCACTGCACCTGGCATATATTTCATGACTTTAAATGTCATCCGTACATCTTGAATCCTAAATTTTTCTGTCAGCCTAAGACTTTGAGCACCAGATTTAGAATCTTACTGCCTCCATCTCTACTCAGCACCTCCACCTAGTTGTTTTGCAGGTATTTCAAAGTTAAGATGCCCAAAGCATCTTCCAATTCCTCTTCCAATCCTTAACTATCACCACCCCAAAGTCTTTACTGTCTTAATTAAGGATAACTTTGATCACCTAGCTGCACAGACCAAACTCTTAGAGTCACGTTGGATACCTCATTCTTCCATCCCACCTATCAACAAATCCTGTTTGATCCTTAAAACATAGCCAGATTTTATTTATTTATTTTTGAGATGTAATCTCACTATGTCGCACTCAGTAGAGTGCTGTCAGGTCACAGCTCACAGCAACCTCAAACTCGTGTGCTTAAGCGATTCTCTTGCCTCAGCCTCCCAAGTAACTGGGACTACAGGTACCCACTATAATGCCTGGCTATTTTTTTGTTGTAGATGTCATTGTTCAGCAGGCCTGGGATGGGTTTGAACCCACCATCCCCAGTGTATGTGGCCAGCGCCCTAACCACTGAGCTACAGGCACTGAGCCCATGGCCAGATTTTTTTTTTTTTTTGAGGCAGAGCCTTAAGCTCTCACCCTGGGTAGAGTGCTGTAGCATCACAGCTCACAGCAACCTCCAACTCCTGGGCTCAAGCGATTCTCCTGCCTCCACCTCCCAAGTAGCTGGGACTACTCGCCACAATGCTTTACTATTTTTTGGTTGCATCCATAATTGTTGTTTGGTGAGCCCAGGCTAGATTCGAACCCGCCAGCTCAGGTGTACGTGGTTGATGCCTTAGCCACTTGAGCCACAGGCGCTACCATCCTGGTCCATGATACCATCATCTGTTGCATAGATTAATTACTGCAAAGGCCACCTAACCATTGTTGTTTGGCGGGCCCAGGGATAGATTTGAACCTGCCAGCTCAGGTGTATGAGGCTGGTGCCTTAGCTGCTTGAGCCACAGGCTGCTACCACCCTGGTCCATGATACCATCATCTGTTGCATAGATTACTGCAGAGGCCACCTAACTGATCCACACAGCAGCCAGAGTCAGAGTTTCTCTCTCTGCTGATAACATTTCCAATGGCTTTTCATCTCTTTCAGTCCTTGCAAAGGCCTACTCCAAGGCCTGTGTTACCTGTGACCAAACATTTGATCACTTACCCACTCTATACCCTATTTTAACCGGTGGCCTCCTTGCTTTTCTTATGACACATCAAACAAACTTACTACCTTAGGATAATTGCACCTGCTATTATCCCAACTGCAGTACTCTTCCCTATGTATCCACATGGCTCTTTTTCTTCCCTCTCAACTCCTGCTTAGTGAATCCTCCCCCTTGGCACTTAGTATCTCTTCTGTGGTGGCTTTAAAACATCTCACCAAAACTTCTGATGCTCCTTCCTTCAAGAGGTGAAGCCTGGGTAGGGCAAGGTGGTTCACACTTTAATCCTAGCACTCTGGGAGGCCAAGGCAGGTGGATTGCTTGAGCTCAGGAGTTTGAAACCAGCCTGAACAAGGGCGAGACCCCATTTCTACTAAAAATAGAAAAAATTAGCCAGGCATTGTGTGGGTGCCTGTAGTCCCAGCTACTGTGGAGGCTGAGGCAGGAGGATCTCTTGAGCCAAAGAGTTTGAGGTTGCTGTGACCTATGATAACACCACAGCACTCTACCCATGGTGACAGAAAAAAAAATAGCCAGGCATTGTGGCAGGCGCCTGTGGTCCCAGCTACTTGGGAGGGGGAGGCAGGAGACTCGCTTGAGCCCAGGAGTTGGAGGTTGCTGTGAGCTATGATGCCATGGCACTCTACCCAGGGGGACAGCTTGAGGCTCTGTCTCAAAAAAAAAAAAATGAATCTTGATTTTCTTCCCTTTGAATGTGGGAGTAGATTTAATTATATAATAGAGTAGAACCTACATAGCTGA